TGAATGCCACCTAAAGAGGATTAAAAATCCCATCAAACAGCTAACTTAATCTTGAAAAAGAGACCCAAAGAAACGTGTCACATATAAAAACTAACAAAAGATATAAACTCACAGTGTAGTCTTTGACAAAACACAGATGAATAGAACATGGGATAAAAGAGATGATTCAGAGTTCAGAGGTTTATAGGCCATTCCTAAATAATTAAACACATTTAAAATATTCATAGTCAAAATAATTCTGTAAGAACATAGTTTTCTTTTTTTCTTTTTTGGTCTTTTTGAGATAGTGTCTCTCTGTAGCCCCAGCTGACCTGGAACTTGCTATATAGACCAGGCTGGCCTTGAACTCAAAGAGATCTGCCTGCCTTCTGAGTGCTGGGATTAAAGGCATGTGCCACCACACTCGGCTAAGAACATATTTTTCCAAAAACACAAACAAGATGCTGCCCATTTGACACATTAGAATGGTTATATATGGAAGGTGGGGGAAAGAGATGGGCCGGAAAAAATAAAGGAGTGAAAACAGAATGGAACTTTGTGAGAGGCTGACTTTGGTAGCATGCAATAAACTGGGCAATGTGATTAATTCAAACCTCTGATCTGACACCCATCTATCCATTGGATGGAATGTTCATATGGTATGACTAGTGCCCCCCTTCCTTCTCCACAGCCAGTCCTTAGAGGAAGGACAATGTAGACCTCTGACTTTAAGGGCTTACTCAGCTCAGTGAAGCAAAATGTCAAGCTGTTTCTATATGGTAGAGCATAGGGAAGTCCTCTAAGCTTCCACCTTGACTGGGTATGTGATGTATAGAAGAACAGATCACTAGCTTACTTTTTGCCACTGGAATTCTTATAGCCATGTAGATTTCTAGGATTCACCACTCACTGTTCCAGAATTTATCGAGTTTTGCAGTTTTCATTAATTTTCACAACTTCAAAAACTGTATTTTGTGTTAGAGGGGATCCCAGAATTTTCTTGAAAAGCTCCACAGAACAACTCAGCCTGAATGGAGGATAGCAGGGAGCAAAGGTAATAAAACAAAACAACAAAACAAAACCAAACAAACACCAACCTTTTCCTATTACTCATCTCTGGCTACCTCTGCAAATGATTGTTTTCACTTAACCCCAAGGACAAGACAACCCATTTTATAGCATTCACCGTCTCCAAGGACGAACTTTAGTGTAAATCTTGTTTGCTTTTTATAGTATTAGAAAAGACAATGAGACCTGCCTCTCAGAAGATCATTTTGCCAAGTCTCTGTGGCTCTGCAGGGAATATTTGTTTCCTCATTTAAATTCATGTCTCTAAAAGACAAGTAGACCTTGGATGAAATTTCAGGTGACAGTAAATTATAAATAATGTATCCATATATTTTTCTCTTTCATACTAGTTGTATTTAATTCCCGCCAGAGTCTTGTGCAAACACCAGAGACAAGAGGACAGGAAGCTATTAGCATGATGGAAAGACTGAAATGGGCTCATGTTGTGTGGTATGAACAGAAGGAAAGGCAACTTCATCAAAGGAGGCTTCCAAGGTTTTGAGGCCAGCTTTTTTCCATCATCATCATCATCATCATCATCATCACCATCATCATCATCACCACCACCACTACCACCACCACTACCACTAGTAGCAGCAGCAGCAGCACCTCAGCTCTTTCCCAGACTGTTATTAGAGAAGCATCTGCTTGAATGAATCTTTTATCTTGGCCCTCTCAGGACAGGGTGAATATTTGTCACTGATGGTGGTCACTTTGAAGCCAAAGTTTAAACCCTGTTGCTCCAACAGAGAAGACATAGGAAATACTGAAATGATCAGCGCATCTTAAGAATAAGATACTGCTAAGTGGAAAAGGCAGTGAGATTAGAAAAGGTGCTCGCTGCTAAAAAGGAATTAGCCTCCGCCTCCGTAACCCCTGGTGTCCCATCACATAGGCTCGCAATGTTCTCCAGACTTGCCCAACAGGAGTAATTCATGCCCTTGGGATCCAGACTGACAGCATTCCGATTTTGTATCAAGTTATGGTATTATACTTTTCATTTTTGCTGCTTTTCCTTTTTGGTAAGACCACCCCCATCTTTAGGAGGTCAATACCCTTATATTCTCTGCCTCTTTAACAAAAATTTGCTCTTAGCAGAGGTAGAAAAGATAGAGGAAAGGGACTAGAACAGACAGTAAGTACTCATTAATATTAACTGGCCAATTACTACGCAGCCTAGTGTAATTTATCCAGGGAAATTCGCACTGGGGTGGCAGACAGGAGCTGAAGTTAGAGGGATTTTGGCTTTCATACTCTGCAGGCTGTATGAAGATTCTTGATAGAATCTTCAGGGGATGGAGAGATGGTTCAGTGGCTAAGAACATTTGCTGCTCTTGCAGAGGACCTGGGTTTGGTCCCCAGCACCCACATAGTGGCTTACACCTGTCCATAACTCCAGTACTAGGGGATTGGGCACCCTCTTTTATCCTCCAAGGGCATCAGGCACACACGTGGTATACATGCAGCTATGCAGGTAAACATAAAATAAAAATAAATACATATTTTAAACAGAATCTTTTCCACCTTCAGCTTTGTTTTCTGGGAGACCCCCACTTCTGCACTCTGCAGCTGGGATTTAACTCTTCAGTTCAATGAGCATTTATCATGTCTGCGTGGCAGGTTTTGTACCAGGGACTTCCACATGCATTATTTCTGTCCACGAATTTTTCACTCAGCAGCCAGTTGTTTCAATGGCTTCTGATAAATGTCCAAAACAAAGCCAGCAGGGTTTGGTATGCATAAATTACTTAAATTTTAGCTTTCCATTGAAACTCTGCAAAACTCCAAAACATGGAATTTCCACTCTAGGGGATAGTGGTGAACCCATTTCAGGTACCCCACACTCTCCATGGAGCAAACATCTCAGATAGTAACTATACTCATTGTGTAGGAAGCTGGATTCTTCAGTTTTCTGCTTTCTGAGTTGATACTGGCTATGCCTAAGGAGTCCATGTCAACTGGGGTCTTATAAGAACCAATAATCAACCTAAATCCACTCTGATAGTCACTTCCACTGCCCACTAAACAAAGCAACACAAGCCTCTTCTCCAGATTCCCATGTAAATTGCTAATTCTTGGCTGATTTTAGCTTCCTGGGACCCTGGCTGGATTGGAATCCTGCATATAAATTATTGCATTCACATGCCTGGGGCATTGCATCTAAGTCAGGGCAGCGATGGTCACAGAACCTGGTGTACTTTTCAGTCCAGAGGGATCTGGAAAGGAGGCACAGCAGCTGAGGAGACTGCAGAAACTCTAGGCAGTGGACATATTGCTCCCCACTGCTATTTAGGACAGCATTAGGATGGGAATGAAGAGCTCATACCACACTGAGCATTTGGGGGATAAAATTATTATTTTAACCTAGTAAATATGAAAGTGGGAGCTCTGTTTATCTGTCATCTGTCTTCTTTTTATGATGAAATTCTTAATTTAGCAAAAAACTCCAGCCAATGGTTCTTTAAGTGGCAGCTACAGAAAACAAAACAAAACAAAACAAAACAAAACAAAACAAAAGAAAACAAAACAAAAAACCCCTGTAATTAACCCGTGAATGTGCAGGGAAGGGCTTAAACAAGAAGAAGGAAGTACTTTAGTGCTTCATAAGACTTCCTGAAACAGCATAATAGACTTCAGCCTCAGAAAGAGACCAGGTTTCTCTAAGTTCTACTTGGTGAAGATCTATTGTGGATTCGTATCTTGGTGAAGGCGGTGAGTGAAGGTGGTGGAGGTGAGGCCACTCCGTGTGGCATCCACAAGTTATTTTTACTTTCCCATTAAATATTTGCTTTTGATTAATGGACTCAATGAACACACTTTGTGAAATATTGAAAAAGATAAAAAAAAAAAAAACAGGGAAAAGGACTCATTCATAATCTCACTATCCAACAGTGACTTGGAATATTTGATCCAAACTCTTTGCTTTGTCATCTAGAATGGGTGCATTGAGAGGAGGATGTTGAAGTGGACTGGGGGGCTTTCTATCACTTCTTTTGGGATGGAGGGACAGCTCTAGGACATAGAGGGAGGCCCAATCTTCTTGGTACTCTGAGAAGGCAGGTTGATCTGTATCTATGGAGTCCCCATAGATGGACACATCCTCATACTCAAAATGTGGGGCAGGGAAAGAATTCAAAGTCTGGGCTGGAATGAGCAGTTACACATTACAAATTGTAGAGAGGTACCATGGAGGTGGCAGAGAGGAATAACAGTTTGGATCCCAGAGTTGGACTATCTGGGGTCAAATCTCAGCTCTCTCTCTTAAGAGTAAAAGGATCTTGGGTGAGTTATCTCATCTTGTTTGCAGAAAAAATAATAGAGGTAATAGTAATAGTCTTTACCACAGAGGCTGTCGCGAAGATGAAATTAGATACTCTTAGATACATGTGATACACTTAGGACAATGCTTGCCAAAAGCCACAGAAATCTGTAATTTCCATGTGGCTCAGTTTAATTATGTGAGAAATGATGACAAAAGGCCTTACCTTTTCCTTCTTTATGTAGTGCCAGGAATCAAACCCAGGACCTTGTACATACAAGGCAAGCACTCCACTGCCTAGCCACACCCCTAGCCTTTTAAAGTGACTTTATCAGTTATTTTAAGGATTGAGTGAGATTCTGGGTATACAAAAGTATATCAGAGGAAGGAGAGAGAGAGAAAGAGAGAAGGAAGGACTTTTTTGGAAAAACATGTAGGAAATTGGAACAAGAATGAACCTGGTATCTCTACCTGGTACATTTAGTTGTCTACAGAGTTGGGTTAAAATGATTCCTTAATGACCTTGGCAGTGGGGGTTTTCTGACAAGGAAAGGGTAGGGAGAATGGCAACTGACTTTTTGCTGTTGTTTTTGACAGGCTCAGACTCCCTCCAGGTCATGTGTCAGCCGAGGTGCTGAGGAAACAGATGTCTTTTAGGGAGAAGAAAGCATCAAAGTGATTCTAAGATTCTCACCTGTAGTGAAGGCAGTGGAGGTGAGGCTGCTCCGTGTGGCGTCCTGAGCTGCCTGCAGGAGCACTGTGTAGTCAGTGTTCTCTGACAGGCCCTCCAGGCGAATCCAGGTGTCCTCAGCATCCACAATCAACTCCTGCAGAGAGCCAGAGGAAAGGAGGTGGGAGGGAGAGAGCAGCTTGCAATATGGAAACGTGGGGAAGCTGGGTCAGCATTGCTGTCCTCCCCAGTCCATAGTAAGGAAAAAGAAAAAACTGCCAATATGCAGGGAGGGCAGCTCCCATGTGAGATTTAGGTCAGCTCCTATCTCAGAAATGCACACGGGATAAATTTAGGTACCTGGATTATTGAATCCAGTGGTTTTTCAGATTGCGCTGGGCTTGCTTAAGAGCAGAGGAAGCTGAGGAAGCAGAATCCCCGGCCTCCGTATTGCCATCACAGACCTGCTTTGCTTACATCTATTCTGTAGATTTGACTTCTGCATATGACTCACTTTTAGAAAGGATCCTACTGCAAGGGACAATTTGAAAACTGGTACTCTAGTGGATTGTTTGGACTGGTGACATAAACCCAAAATTTATCATCTCTTTACTGTCAGTTACATAGATGCTGCTTTTATAATGCTTATTGAGGCACAAAAGCCTGTTGGGTTTATTACCCAGCTCATGTTCGCTTGGCCCTAGGAGTGAAAAATCATTCTGATGCCATGAGATTGGAGTTCTAATATTTTGGATAGTAATATCAGATAGCAATATTGGAAGCACTATCATATTTAGTAAAGTTGTAAGGTGGACGCTCTAGAGAGGGCACTGGGGCTGAAAGAGAGTTTGCACTTTGCTTTGGCTCATGTAGAGAGACGTAGAAACAACTTGCATACTGTTTGGCTTGCAGACCTGGGCTCTCCTGAGTAGCAGAGTCTGTAACCAGGATCTGAAACCTCATTGGTTGACTGTGAATTACTTCTTTTCCCATCCCTGTAATTTCCATGCATCATCCCATTGGTCAGTTTCCACATGGCCTCACATGGAAGAAATGGTTTTTCCCTTTTTCAGCTAATGCTTACTTTGCGGCTTCCATCGGTGGATTTGTATGTCAAGACATAGTTTTCAATCTCTGCTCTGGGTGGCTGCCAAGAGATCAGTGCACTTTGTCTAGTGACTTCACTGGCTGTCAGGTTGGCAGGAGGGTCCAGCACTGCAAAGAACAGAAAATGCCAGGGTGTTCCTGTCTTTCTAGCTCTTCCCTTGATGGTCATAGGGCTGTTCACATGCTTACTCTAGTTCTGGTTTGTACAGGTACAGACAGGGTGCCATTTTTCCATCTTAAGCTACTTCCCCTCCCTCAAATAAGAGTCTGGGCTTGGGAATGATACTTTCCAATCCAACTCTATCATCTTCTCCATTACAATGAAACATCATTTTCTAGGTTCCACATAATCCTGCAGGGATCCCAGTTAAGCAGGACCATATACTCACGGGTAGAGAAGTTGGTGGCGATGGTGCCACTCGTGAGAGGGCCACTGGTGGCATACATGGTAACGGTATAGTGAGTGCTAGGGAGCAGGTCAACAAGCTGGAATTCTTCACTGACTCCATCAACCAGGATGGTCTCTCCAGCGACTGAAATCAGATGTATGTAGATAAGGCAAGGTCTACTAAACCTAAAGCCTTTTCACAAGGATTCAGATTCAGCACTATAGAATTGGGCAAAAATTCTTTTATAGGTGAGTGAGCTTATTACTCCATAGACAGATCCCGTTTCATCTTTATATCTTCAGAAAAAAAAAAAGCGTTCCTTATATGGAGGCAAAATTGTCTCTCTATCACCTACTCAGGTCTCTGGAGTCAAAAGTAATAAGAACAATCCTTTGTCTATCTGACCTTTTCCTTCTCTTCACTTTTCCTCATCAAGGGTTCCCTCCTTTAGACTGAGAAAATCCAGGCCCCACCTCTCATTACATTTATGTGATCCTTCTAAAATCTTCACAGTCCTGGCTATTTTTCTCAGGGCAAGTAACAGTTTGCCAGAATCTTTGATGAAATGCAAGACTTGGAAGTGAATTGAGAACAAGAATTGATATCACTGATCAATGGCACAAACAGAGTCAACCTGCCTCTATGCCTGCCATTTATATTATTCTATTAGGTTTTAGGACAGCCATGTATTATTGCTGTCACATGCTGAGTTTATTGCCAGTCAAAGACATTGTTTATCACCACTCCCTTCCACCCTTCTGGAGTTGATTTTTTGACTCCATGGGCAGAGCTTTGCTTTTATTTCTATTCTATTTTGCCTTGGTGTTTGAGTTGTGGACCACTGTTTCAGTTTATTAAAATGTTTTTAATGTGGTTTCAATCAATCACAGTTTTGTTTTATCCACACATTTTGTAAGCATGTTTTCTCAGAATTCATTCAAGCTGTTGATAAAACTGTTCATTAGATCAGAGCCAAGCTATCTGTTAGACAATTAGAATATTTCTGAATCATTTAGCATTTAACAAAGTTATTAGGCACATCTCCAAACTAGGTCAGGCCTGGTGGTTCAAGCTTATTGTAATCTAAAGGAGTAACAAGGTATATAAGAAAATTAAAACCATCCAAATGAACTCTTGGAAGAATGCACATAATGACTATCTTTTTAATATCCTACTTTGTGACATCCTGCCACCAGTCACTGTTCTACAGCACTAAACTACGGCTGCTCCTCAAATGTTCATCTCTCTTCAAATACCGAAAGACTACTCTTTTTCTTAGAATTTCCTGTCTTCATTTTCTTTTGCTTTACCTGAGATCTTCCTCTTTCTGTCAGCACCCTGGCCCTCAGCTATGGTGGCCCGTCAGATGTAGCTCACTATGTTCTGCTTTGTCTTTTTCATGTCACAGTTCGTCAAGTTGTATTTATTTCTTTGCATCATCACTAGAAGTGAGGTCCATGAAGATCAGCACTTATGCTTTGCTTCTGAATTTTTATAGGCCCATGGGAAGGTATCAGAAGGATTTGCTGAATGAATGGATGTGAATTGCTAGGATGGAGCTGTGTGCCTTGTTACTGTAAGCAGGTGTGACTGACTGCCTTAGGAGAATCAGTATGCTTTGTCAGAAAAGATGGGGTTGAAACTGACATGAAGGATGGGTTTTCTAGGCAGACCCTTGGGAGAGAAACCACATGAGCAAATGTATGGATGCTTGAAAAGGCCTGAGAAGACCTGATGATTTACGAAATGCTGCATCATGATACATTCAGAGGGGTAGTAGGAGTTGAGCTGGGCTGTACAAGAATATAGAAGGGTTAGGATATATCTGTAATTTTCTTCTTTGAGAATCTCATTCATTCAGCTATAGTTCTTAGTAACTCAAAATATGATCTATCATGTTCCATCTTAACTAAAGACTAAATGATACACAGTTTTCTAGTGCCTTGCTGAAACACAAATGTGCTAATAGATTCGCCAATTTAAAAAAGGAACATAAAGCAGTTTTGATGAAAGTTAGTGACCTGTGCTGGTGCGCTGTAGACCCCGAAGCCTGTTCCATTTTGTTTAATAATCTGTGTTAGTTTTCACTTCCCCAAGCTTTGACAAAAAAATTTGTTCATTGCAGCTTACATAATTGGCTTTCTCTTTCATCTTTGAAAATCAAGACGTCTGCCTGCCTTATGTTTCCTGGTATCTTTGCTCTCTAGAATACAACCCACAGCAATTCTATGCTTGCAAGTTTAATTTCAGTCAAGAAATAATTTCCCTAAGCTTAGATATCTGTAATATACTTCTGTTTAGCTTTGGGCTTCTCTACTGAGCTTCAAATAGTTTAAGGTGAAAAAGTTTGATGAAAACAACATTGATACTCAAATTTTTCTGTTGATTCAAACTTTTGGGCTGGATGAGGGTAGAAAAGACCCCAAACAACAGAAAAATTTGCCGTTCTAAATCCTTTGTCACCTGTTAACACCTGTGATCTGCTCCAAGCTTGATCCTATAACTTCAGTGTTTTTCTTACTCTTTAAATGTCTAGAAAATTCTACCTTGTTATTTGTTCCACTTTGGTGAAATTCTTAGCTCAATTCTGAGTTTTTTCTTCCTGATGTTATTTCTTTCAGACTGAGCATTTGCAATTAATATCATCAGTATTTTGCAGAACTTGGAGGATATCTTGAACACTTTGTAGGGCTTGAAGACTATATAATTTTCCCCAAAGTAGAGTGATTTCTGATTTGACTCTCATATTAGAAAAATGTATTATTTCTCCACTTCCATGCTGACTTACAGCTCCAATCCCCAGCACTCCCATCTGCCTAATGCCTAGGCTTGCAGACACTCACCTGCAAAGTGTGTAAGAACAATGACATAGTTCTCTACTTCACCCATGGGTGCCTTCCACTGCAGCAGGGCTTCCGTGGGGGTAATGTTAGTAGCAATCAGATCCACAGGGCTATCCATGGCTGAAACAGAACAGGAGAGTATCAGGAAAAGAGGAGCTACAGGAAGGAAGTGCCACAAACCACCAGAAACATCCCATGTAATGCACATCTGTCACTGCGCTGGCTAAAATAGTGTCGTCCCACTGTTTCCTTTTTTTTTCCTTTTCTCTTTTTTTCTGTCTTAGTTCTCTTCCAAGCTTGCCCCAAGTTCTTCATTTTAATTCATTAACTTATTTTGCACAGAACACTATGACAAGTTCATTGGGGAGTGGAAAGTTCAAGATAATCAATTGTATTTTAGATATTTAAATCTAGAAGAGAAGTGAAGAACGTACAGAAATGGTTATAATTCTTTAGTTACTGAGATAATCGTCTTCTTAGTCTACTTGTACATTCATAAACACAAAGGTCAGCTTTGTGGAAAGATCTCTGTTGATGACTGCCTGGTTGGCTTTAATCGTCAACTTGACACATCTGGGAAGAGGGAACCTCAGTTGAGGAATTGCCTCCATTGGATTGACCTGTGGTTTGTCTGTAAGGCATTTTCTTAATTGCTAATTGAGATGGAAAGACCTAACCCACTGAAGGCAGTGCCACTCCTGGATAGGTGGTCCTGGGTTGTAGAAAAAAGCTGGATGATCACAATCCGAAAAAAACAGCAAACCAGTTAGCAGTATTCTTCCATGGTCTCCGCTTCAGTTGCTGCCTCCAGGTTCCTGCCTTGAGTTACATCAGTAATGCATTGTGACCTGGAAGTTGTAAAGCTGAAATAAACCCTTTCTTCCCCACACTGGTTTTGGCCAGTGTTTTATCATAACAATAGAGAAACCAACATAGAAGAACAACCTTCAGGAAAAGCTGTGGAAATACAGGGGAACCAGCACTGAGAACTTAGTCGTATCCAGTTACTGACTTCTTGCTTCCCTACCCACAAGTTTCACTCTGGACGATGATCAGGACAGCAGTTTTGCTGCACGGGAGCCAAGGCCAAGGGGTTTCTTGTAGGGTTAGAGAGACCAAGAGTGCTTGTTGGGGGAACAGAGTTTACTTGTCAAAGGACCATCAGTGAGTACTTTTACTTAACCATCCTATAAGCCTTGGTTTATTTCTGTGCTTGCCTTCCAGAAAGTTGGAATTTATTTCCAAAATGGATGTTATTACACTGGCTTGAATATTAGCTCAACCTAAGACTCTTAGAATTTATTTGGGAACCAAGATCCACTGCTGATCTGCCCCGGGTCTCTAATGAAATGAATTGGTTTTTTTGTTTGTTTGTTTTTTCCTTTTTCTTCATTTTGCTTATGTTCTTCATCACAAAGCAACAGCCAAAAAAAAACCCAAAAAACTTTCCTAATTTAAAACTTTAAATCTTATCCATAATCTGTGCTTGCAAAAAGTTCTTCAAATGCAGCTTATATTATAGTTGGGTGATTTCTGAATTATGCATGTTTACTTGAAGGAATTCTCATTTCTAATAGTTATGAGATCATAGACATCAGTTTAAAAAACAACAACTAAGCCAGGCATGATGGAGCGTGCCTTTCATCCCAGTACTTGGGAGGCAGAAGCATCTGTGAGTTCAAGGCCAGCATGGTCTACATAGTGAGTTCCAGGCCAGTTAGGGCTATGGGGAAACCCTGCCTCAAAAAGACAAATAAATAAATAAATAAATAAATAAATAAATAAATAAAACTAAGCTACTTCTGAGTGTAATAGCATTATTGGAAGTAACCAAAGTAGTTCTGCATAACTTGAAGGAGACAGTATGGCTTGGTATACTATTGAATTTCTGTTTTAGAGATATATGCTGCCTGTGGCTAAGAATTCAAGGAATGAGCTTTTGACTTGAGTTATTCTACTCTTTTACCTCAGGGGAAAGATGATCTTAAAATCCATTTTATGATTTTCAGTGAGAAAATGGAAGTTTCTAGAATTTTCAAGAAAGTGGGAAAGAGGCTTTTTTTTTTTTTTTGTTCATTTAGATTACTTCTGGTCAACATTTATTACCCAGATACTTTGACCACAGATAACTAGAGGGGTAGGGCCAGACTGAATCACAAAACATAGCTAAGGTATCTATAGCCATAGATCTTGAAGGAGGCTAGGAAAAATTAGAATATCCTGTGCTGTCTTGAAAAGAATACTTTTTATGTTTTTGGAAGATTTTCCCCCCTCATTTCATAGTGAGATGCTGTTTTGGAGCTTGTGAGAATACTTACAGGGATGAATTGGTAGGTACCTTTCCCTTCTTCAGGAAATACCATCTCCAGGGAAATTAAGCAGTGTCAGGAAATCGAGGTGTTTTCTTAATGAGGTGGGCTGGATGTTTCCCTGTGTGTAGTGGAAACTATGCCTTAACTAGGAGATTTGTTCTGGATGTTGAGGAAAGAGAACATTGTCTGTGTCTTCCAGTGAGGTCTATAGTAAATCTTGGCTAATTCTACATGATACACTTGCTGAAGGGCCAGAGAAGAAGACTAGTGAAGCTACTGAAAAGGAGCCTTGACCTTGGGTTTATCCAAGGGGTTAGTTTTCAGAAGAAGGCATGGAAGGAGAACCTTCTTCTCTGCTTTCCCATATTGCAAGCTAGTTGTTCTTCCTGCCTCCCTTCCTCTGGATATAGGCAGGAGCTTGTTGTAGATACAGAAGATACCTGGATTCATTTGGAGGGCTTGTTGGTGAGCAAGGATTACACAGATCTGTGGGCGAGTCAAGATGTTAACAAGGAAGTAACATTTTGCCTCTACTGCTTTCACCAAAGTGAAGGATTTATAGCCACTTTGATGCCTTCTTCTCCATGGAGCACAAATCAAGGGCAAAAGCGGCTACTGGGTATGATAGAGAATCTTACACCCTCATTTCCTGTGACTGGAATACCAACTCTTATCTGAGGTGAAGTTTCCCTGTTTGAGTCTTAAAATGGTCAGATGATTCAGATGTATGCTGTAGATCTGTCTTCATCATGCGTCTTTGAAAGGGCACTCACTATTCACAGTGCAAGTTCCATGAACATTCCCAGATAGAACCAGCAAGACCCTTAGAGGGCGAGTCACTAAGCACCTATTGTCAGACAGGACTGTCTATGCAGAGACAAACCACAACTTGCCCTGTAGGATACAGTAAGTCAGAGGAGGCTAAGGAATGGCACGTCATACACTGGAGCCAGTATCCTCTGTGTGAACCAGAACAACTTCATTATGCCTTCTGTTTTGTTGCAAGTCCTATGTCCACATTCTGACCTCACATCCAAGGAATCCAAGCTTACCTGTGTGTACCAAGGTGCAGATGCGCTCACTCTCCTCCCTGCCCCGCACACTGTTGAGGCTTATTTCATATTCGGTAGCTGGGTACAGCTTGGTGATGGTGAATTCTGTCACAGTGTTGGGTACTACTGAGCTGTCCAGCCGTCCCACTGAGGAAGAGCAGAATTTACTGTTAAAAGTTCACTAGCTCGCTTATCAGTGGAGTTCACGGCTTAATCTACATTGGGACAGTTGATCATAAAGCACAGATAGATGTGGGCTGAGCATGCAATGTGGAAACAGATAAGCAATTAATAGGCTGGTAATGTTGAAGTTTGAAGAAAGCTTGCATGCTGATCCCAGCACTTAATTTTATGGGCTTCTTGGAACAAAAAGAACTATTTATTCGGTAGTTTTCTATCAAACCGGTCCTCTCTGAGGAAATTATGTCAAGGCAGTGGGCAGAGCTCAGAGTTGTCTACACAACCTAAAGACAGGAAGCTTGGAAAACTGTCCTACCTAACAACTGGAAATGAGCATGCTCTCCACTTTGTTAACAATGCCACATGCACCAAAAAGAACCAGCAGTATGCAGAAAAAGTCTCAGCCAACTTCTCTGACTATTCATTGGCTAGAATGACAGAATTAGGATCACATCACTGTGGTTCCCTCCAAGTCTCCATCTGGCTCTGCTGAGTCTTTATCCATACCATGGATTTTAGTCTTGAACTTTATGCTCAGGAAAATACATGTAGTCCTGGTTCTTGGCGAAGTATTTTAGAGTTCTTTACTTCTTGTTGTGTAGCCTAACTAATGGGAGAGTTTCCTCTGCTGGCGAAGGGCTGCATTGTCGATAAAATAATCAAGCCTACTTTGAGAGGAGTGGGTGAATGAACACAGGGCTTCCCAGCTACTCTTCACGGACACAAGAATGCTACAGAGAGGAAAGATGAGGCTGGCAGAGGCTGATATCCTGTGGGATATGATGGTTTCCCCATAATAATCTCCACCAACTCCAAATCCTATTAATTTTTGAGAAATCAAATCACTTCATTACCTTGGGTGGGTCTATATGATACTCGGTAGTAATCAAAAGATGCAACAGGAGGGCTCCAGGAAACGGTCACGGAGTCCTTAGTCACATTGCTGATTGTGATGTTTCTGGGGGGATCAATTCCTACAAAGACCAGGTGGTTGTGGGGAAAAATACAGAAGCAAAGTTTGAAAACAGAATTTCTATCTCTAGTTTTATATTGATCAGTAGCCAATAATGACCAACTGATAGGCAGACAAAACTCTACCTAAGATATAATTGGGCATCCCTAAAATGACCAGTGATGTTTCACCTGAAGCATGGCTATGGCCAAAGCAGGTTCATGAACATTTTAACATCAAGAAGCTAAGTTGGCAAGGTCTGTGCTTATGTGGTAACTATTATTTATGTGAAGGACAACTAGGAACCTCCTTTTAAGTCCATATGCTTAATCTCAAATAGGAAATTATGCAGTTATTTGTCTTCTCTGAGGGAAGTTTCTCTTGGAAAGACCCAACTCTGCTGCTCTCTCTTATTTGTCAGAGGCCACAATTGGTTCAATTTGGAAAAACTGCCTATTGATTATAGAGGGATTTCAGAGCACAGGTCCAGCGAAAAACTTTACCAAACTCTTCCAGTGTGTGAATTCTTGTCAGTATACAGGGAACTACTTAAACACACATGTTTTTACCTATGTGCCTCTCACATTGGGATTGAATTTGGAAATTATGAGACGGAAATGACCCAGTTCATTTCAGAGTGCCTGTGTTTTCCAAGCAATGTGCAAATCAACCCCATTCTTTTGGTGCCAAGTCACTACATGGTTTCATGCTTACTCTGTGTTGATTCTGAGGAAGTATCACTTGCACCAGAGACATTTTTGGGCTGTCAAGAGATGGCTCTCCAGAATAGAAACTATCTCTTTACCTAGAATAATTCTTTTGGGAAAAGATTTTTCCAGGGGTTTCTGCAGATCCCTGGACCAATGCATTCAGGCCTTGGCCCCTCAGGGTATTCGGTCTGTCCTACTTTTCAAATTGGAGTTTCCCATCTTATATATCTTACAGAACCCTGGAAGAAGCATCTGTTTCAAAAGAACTCACAGATGCTTTTTAGCCATTGATTCATTTTTCTATTTCTCAAATGTTGGCTGTTAAATTTTTTTTTTTAATTTAATTGTCCAAAGTTGCTGTCAGAACTCCCTTCACCAACTGCTGTCAAATCTTCCAGCCTCACCTGTAGTGATGGAACCCACTATGGGCTCAGAGGTTACTGTACCATGGACAGCTACCAAGTTCACTATATATTCAGTGGCTGGCTGTAGACCCATGAGGACTGCATGCCTCTTGGTGGCATCCAAGGAGACCTCCATCATCTCTTCCTCTTCATCCCGAGGACTGTAATTCAGAATGAGTCTGTCTGCTGGGGGAGATGGGTCACTCCAGGTGATGTTGACACTGGAGGAGGTCACATGAGAAAAGTGCAAATGGGAGATAGGGCGGAAGCCTGCAAAGCAGAGAAAATGGACCACTCTGAAACACATGTGTGGTAGTAGGCCCCTGGGCTAGAAGGGGTACATGACTGAAAGTATCTAGTGTCTTTGCTAAAGAGGAATACACTTTCACACACTGGCTCCAAGCTGCTACCTCCCCATACTCTAGTCCTTTCTGCTCTATTCTTTCCAAGCCATATACTGAACAGTTAATTATAAAAGAACTAGAAATATCTCTGTGAAATATTCAAAGCACTGACTAAAAATCTCTAGAACCCATGAGTCCTCAGAATTATCATTGATTTAAAGCAGGTAGGGGGGGATGGACAAAATCAACAACTTTATCCAGACTGCGGAAAATCATACATAAAATTTCAGATATGAAGGATCCTTGATCACCTCTTCCCTTTACATCCAACCATTCCCTCTTTGTGTATATATTAGTCTTTCCTCTATCATTCTTTCTTCCTTACCCATCTCACTTTTTCTCCTTTAGAAGATTAGGTGCCTGGATGACCTTCTCACATTAAAATTGTTTGATTCATGAACCTGACTGATATATCTGCCACCCTGGTACCTGTGAAGGCATCAACGGTAGACTCCAAGCTCTGTTGCCGACCCCTCTCAGCAGTGATGGAAATGATGTATTCTGCTCCAGGCTCTAGATCTGTCAGTGTATACGAAGTCCTCTCCTTTGGCACAGTGACTTCTGAGGCAATTCCAGAAGATGGGGTAAAAGTAATTCGATAGTGGTCAATGGGGCCACTGGCCTTGGTCCAGATGAGGGAGATTGAAGTCTCTGAGGAGGCTGTTACCATGAGGTCTCGGGGACTGTCAAGTTCTGTGGATCAACATAAGTGGCATTTATTTATTTATTTAGATAGGGTCTCTTGTAGACCAGTCAAGACTTGAACTCACTATGTGTCTGAGGATGACCCTGAACTCCTGATTCTCTTCCCTCTACTTCCCAAGTGTTGAGATTACAGGCATATTCCACTACCACACTTAGCAGCTGGTATGTTTCATCCAGGCTCTTTAGGACAGCCAGTAGTTATTGGACCACCTTGTGTGTCTCCAAGTTACCAGCAGGTCTGTTGATCATTAGCCCTGGCTTGTCATTGCTGGCACTTTTCTCACATTTTGTTAAGCAGCTTCCTTTTGAAAAATGATCAGCAGCATGGCAAACGGTTGGATAATCTGCAGAAAGGCATTATTAGCTCTGACACCATTGGAATACATCCACCTCTGGGACAGATCTAGCTGCTGATTTTCAAACTCTCTGTACTTGTTTTCACTTATCCTCCCTCAATAAACCTAACAGGGACAAATAGGAGTCACCACCATGTGAAGATAAGGCATTCGTGGCAACAAAGTTTCCCTGACTCTTCCCTTCCCTGATCCTGAGGTTATTTTCTCTTGGCCTAACCTATCATAGGTACTCAGGTCTGAAGACATCTGGAGACTCTTATCCTTGTGATTCTCTAGTAAGTTTGTCTATGATGTACTGAAACTTGGGAACAGGGATTGGTCCAGACTTCCAAGCCCTACCTAGCCCAAGATGCTTGTATCTAAGCTACTAGAGTGACTTTGAAATTTACCAAAGGTTTGAAAGCAAAACTGTTGGATCCAGAGCAGTAAGAGTTTCCAATGGTCTTTTCCTGCTACCCTGGGACCTTCATTCTAGTGGCTTTTTAAAGTGTGTTTGCCGTGTAGAAAGAGGACATCCCATTCTGCCTGCTATGAGGAGGTCTAGAGGGAAATACAGCCCACTACAGCATCAATTTTTTTTTTGGAAATTTTCATATCTTTTCTGCACAGCTCTGCCCAGTCCTTCAGATTGGAGGATCAAGCATAGATCTATTGTGAATAGGGTGGGACTTCAGATGTCAGGTCAGGCATAGGGTGGATGCTGTCATTAGGCAAGAGTTGTCAACAAGGTCTTGTTCACTGGGAATGCTGCCCTGTGGCCCATCATGGCAGAACAGACCTTCACACAGTCTCATATTCACAAGCCTACAGCTTATTCATCTTCTTCACTGTCTTTCTACTCACCAGTCCTGGCATTCATGGTGGCTGGCACACTTTGTTTAGAACTCATGACAGCAGATATTCCAACTCCATATTCTGTGCCTGGTACCAGATCTGTAGGGAGACACAGGAACAGACATTATTCTCTCTCTCTCTCTCTCTCTCTCTCTCTCTCTCTCTCTCTCCCCATGAGAAAGGAAATGCAGGGAGGCTGAAAGAAGAAAAGAAAATTATCATAGATTCCCGTTCAGATCTTACATTTAGTTGACCCTCAGTTTGCTCCTAATTTTACCTATTAAGAAATCCAATTTTTATTACTTGGGAAATCCATAGGAAGCCAACAAAATTAACTGGCCAGTGCAAAATACAGCAAGGCTACCTTTGTTAGTGTCCTTGGAAAGTGTGGTCACCTCTGGAAGGTTTTCCTATGTACGGAATCTCAGGTTGGTTAGAACAGTGAACGGATGGATTTCTTGCTTAAATTGCAAATATAAGGAAAGTGTAATTCAGGGAGAGTGTTGATGTAAGTCTGGAAAGCAGTTCTTGAACCTGTGTATAAGAACTACACTGTACTTTTTATAGACAGGCCCTGAGGTCATAAGAAGATTCTTGGGTCCCTTTTAAAGAGCCACACTGGCTAGACTTTTCCTTTGAACATTCAGGCCTTTAACATAGATCAGATCCCTGTAGAAACCTACTAACTATGCTCCCCCTGCCCCCAGCAAGGCAAGTAACTCAGTCCAGGGCATGTAAGCTATGGGTAAATCCCAGTTTACAATGTCTTCTGGTAGATTCTGTGAGTGCAGATACAAAAACTGTCCAACTGAATAGTGCAAGCTTCTGAGGAAATCCTTTGGGGGTTCATTGCAAAGGATCACTGACAGGTTCCCGGAGCACCTGGAGTTCTCTGGAGTCCTTCTCCACGCTTCCGCATTCATTCTCAGATCAACTGGGTTGACTGGTATATTAGTTTCCTATTGCTGCTGTGACAAATCACCACAATTTGGTGGCTTACAACAATATACATTAATGATCTCCCAGCTCAGGAGGTCTGAAATTTAAAATGGCTCAGCAGAGATGCATTCCTTCTGGTGGCCCCAGGGGACGGCCCATGTATTTGCCTTTTCAGCTTCTAGCAAGCTGCATGCATTACTTGTCTCTTAATATACTTTCAAAACCAGCAGGTTAATAGTATCAAAACCTTTCTCTCTCTGATCTTGGCTTCTATTGTCATCTCTACTGTGACTCTGACCTCCCTGCATCCAACTTATAAGGACCCAGGTCAGTAAATTGGACACATTGCATAATACAGGACAATTTTCCCATCTTAAGATCTTTAAGTTAATCATATCAGCAAAGTCCCTTTTGTCATATAAAGTGACATATTCACTGATACTAGGGATTAGAATGTGGATATCTTTGGGGACCATTATCTGTCTACCATAACTGGCATCAAACTTATTTTCATTTATTAAGATTCAGATTGCAGGAAAATGAAACAAACCGAGGGCCTCCAGTAGTCAGGCTGAGTCCTTTTGGGAGGCTTGTTATGAGGCCTGTATGGACTCTTGAGGACTATGGACTTTAAAAAAAAATTTATTTATTATTTTATGTGTATGTGTGTATCGCCTGCATGGGTAAGTGCACCTGTGTTGTGCAATGCCTATAGAGGACAAAAGAGGCTGTCAGATCCCCTGGAACTGGAGTTATGGACAGTTGTTAGCAGCCATGTGGGAGCTGGGATTCAAACTTGGGTCTTCTGCAAGAACAGCCAGTGTTCTTAACCACTGAGCAATCTCCCCAGCCCTGAGAACAATGGATTATTTTAAGACTGTCTTGATTTTATATACCATTTGTACTTTTCAAAATTGAATGTGTTTTGGAATTTTACTGCAATCTCCTGAAGGCAATGGACAGTTTTTCTCCATCCGTATTAAATACCTGTGGCTGTTGCTATAAATTACCACAAACTGGTGGCTTAAAACAACAGAAATATATTCTCTCACAGTTCTGGAGTCTAAAATCAGAAATCAAGGTATCAGCAGGGCCACACACAGCAGGCTTTCAGGGAGAACACACCTTGCCTCTTCTTAGCTTCTGCTAGTTGCCATCAGTATTTGGCTTCCCTTGGCATCCATGTTTTCTATCTTTAAAAGACACCAGTCACATCGCACTAGAGCAAGCAAATGCAGCACAAATACATCTTAGGTTGATTACATCTCTAAAGACCCTATTTCCAAATACTGTCACCTCTATAGGTTCTGGGTAGACATGAATTTTGAGGAGAATGATATTAAATTGGTATAATTTTTTTTAATAAAGCAAAATTGAGATATTGGGAATAAGTCTGTGACCAGTTTGAGATGATTTCCAGACTCCTGGCCTCAGGTTTCAAGACTTGGGAAGCACTTCTTATGATAACCATATCTGATCCTAGGGCTGCTGTGACTTCCTTGAGGTAATACAAATGATCGTGATAGGAAATGTGTTGAGTCACCTCCTCTTAACCAATGACTTGTTTTAGCCAAGGGGAATGCTGCATGTGAGTCAGAAGATTCTGTTCTACTCCTAGCTTTAGTTCAGTCCATACTATAAATACCCCTGTGTGTGTGTATGTGTGTGCGCATGCATGTGTGTGTGTGTGTGTGTGTGTGTGTGTGTGACTACAGCAGAGCCCACATGGTCTTACTGGTCAGTCCCCCTTGAAGGAATGCAGTGAAGCTGTGGGCAGAATTAGAATCAGGCCTTATTTTCCCTTCTCAAACCAGCTACATGCTTTTCCTAGCCCTTACTTCATTTTCTCCCCAGGCCTTCATTCTGAGAAGAGGTGAAGTTTGAAGTCTGGCATTCTGGACCACCTTCCACATGTATATCTTTGATTGTTTACCATCTTTGGGCTTAAGTTTCTGTAGAATGGGAATGATAAGTTTCCATGTCAGAGGATCATTGTAAGGATTCAATGAATCAATGTGTATAGCTCCTTGCCCCTAATGATAGTCACTAATATTAACATTACCCTGCCCAGAGAACTACTCCAGGACTTTAAAGTCCTTTAATCTGGGAGCCTCATCAGCTACAAAAAGTTTCCCAGGCAGGCACAGGTTGGTCCTACATATACCTATTGTTGGTTTGCTGAGGCTTGGCACCTGACTCTGATGGAAACCAATGACTCAGGAAGTCAAGGTATTCAAGAGGAGCTGCCCCTGGCTGGTTTCATTACCGGTCTCCAGACTGAGTGGCTGGAACACACCCAGATCCATTCAAAACACATATTTATTGCCATCGATATGTTTCACGTGTCCTAGAGCACCTTTGGTTGGAGAAATTAGATTACCTTTGGGCACAAACTACTTTTCCCATGCAACCGATTGAAACCTTCAATTGCCTGTAATGAAGTAGAAATTCTCCAATGTAGACGAAGGGTGACAGATCAAGGGAGTAAGACAGAAATTATATGTTGCCAAGCAGATCTAACGTGTAATGTTTTCATCCAAGTTTCTTATTTATGAAGCTTAAATGAAATGTTCAATAATTTACAATAGAATCATCTTCTCCCAGAAAACAGTAGAGGAGAATTTAAAGCACTCTCTTCCAGGATTTCTGTCTAGGGGATGGGGAAGTGGGACTTGCCCATAGGTCTGTGCCTGCTGCTTTCCTTTGATTTTCAGCAGCTTTCTTCCTGTGCTACAAGTGAATTGTTGCTCTTTGCCAGTAGGTAAAATGCAGTTCTGCCAGAAAAGAAAACGTGTATCTGAGGCAAGTCTGGTACACTGCTCTCTCAGCACTCAGCACTCTGAGGGATTTCTTACTTTAAAGACCCCATTGCTCTCCATCAACTCTCTCTTTATTTTTCTATCCAGTTCCTGCAAGTGGTACCATACAAACGACTCTGTTCCCTTTTTTAACAAAAGCTCAGAAATTTGTCCCATAGGAAGCCACCATTCTCCATCCCTTATAGAACTTCCTTTGTTCATCTCAGAGGCTGACACTTTCCTCAACTGTTTCACTACATACTCATTCTTCTCCGAATCCCTAAAGCACAAAGCTCATCCACTCAGCAAATATTACTGAGGACGTCCTTTGTGTCAGGCATAGGCTGTGGGCTGAGGATTATGAAGTGAGTTGATCAGACATCACTTTTCTCTTTTTGAGGATCAAAAAAAAATCTGTACTGGAAAAGCAAATTAATTATTTATTGAGTACCTGTGCTATGCCAAACACTAAGCTACATGCAACAGATAATCTAGAAGAATAATGAAGAAGAAAGGGCAAGAAGAAAGAAGAGGTTAAAACAAGGATTTTGAGTGTTTGATGGTGAAGAAGACTCTGCTAGCCATATAAAGCTTCTTAGAGACATGTGCATGTCTTTATTTAGTTCCCATATAGCTCTGCTCATGAACAAATACAGGCTAAGAGAAGTCCATTCCTGGACCACAAAGCTAATATAGGATAAGGTTCAGAACGCAAGTCTTGTTCTCTCTGGTTTCTGTTCCTAAGAGTCATATAGGTTGGCTTTGGAGACTGGTATAAACAAATTGGAATTGAGAATGATTTACTACTATACAGTCTGCTAAAGCCTAGCTGAGTCTATCCTCCTCTGAAACCACAGCAAGGCTTTAGTAGTGAGAGAAGAGGCTTAGGCTGGACCTTGAAAGCTAGCTAAGATGAAGAACATAATGAAGGCAAAACCACGCACCTGCCCCTGCTGAGGAAAGCTGTTCTCCATGCTTGTGGCTGCTAGTGAGGAACATGCTGCAGGGAGAAGGAGGCCCAAGGAGTGATTATCTCTTGCCAGCAAGAACAAACATAAAACATCTGGCACCTGCAGGCTTGGTTGGCTTCAAGTGGGCATGAAGAACTATGGATGCTTTCCATCTCTAAAACCACAAGGGCATCTCCCACATGTCTGTACAGTTCAATCCACCAATCTGGGGATTGGGATTTAGTTGGTCCTAGTGCACTGGATTTCTGCTTTTAGAGAGGAACAAGATAAGAACCCTGTCCTCAAGGAGCTTGCAGTCAGTCTCTTGGTCTTGACAGCATGTGCTGAGTCATATCTGGCAAAATTATTTGTGAAAACTTAAAACTAGATGCAATGCACCAGCATAGAGAAA